CATAAACTCAGTAGTTATTTTATAAAGGTAGAGATGGCTTTCAGTATTAAGGTTTTTTTTGTTGTTGTTTGTTTTTTAATAACTTGTATATATTTCTGAAGCTACTGCTTCTGTAGCTCAGGGACACATGACATAGGAAGAACCTGTTTCTACCCCAAGTATTAAAAAGCATAAGGTAAAATATGAACTTGAGCTGACCTCTGCATTTTAGAGGTTCATCTTTTCCTGCAGAACTATGTTGCTGTTTTTCTCTCAGAAAGCTATCAGTATAAAAATGGATACAAAATACAGTTTTAGTAATAGTTTAGGGGAAACTTAGAATATCCTATTGATTTTTGACACATTTTTTATACCACCTCACCATAATTCATTTTTTTAGAGCATATCACTTGAGTGATTGCTCTAAATATGCTTATGAAGCCCTAGTGTAAATGTGCACCTTAACTGAATTATTTCTCCAGTGCTTCAGCAGTTCACCTCTCTGAAACCCTTAGATTTTATCTGCCTAACCTGATGGCTATATTAGACTGCTCTTGTCTCTGACCAAAAAAAAAAAAAAATTGCAGATACTACTATATGCTTAAAATTAAAATTAAAATTCAGTTGTAAGTGTTTATGTGTTTCGGTTTCACCTTTGATTCAAAACTGTATCTTATATTTCAGGTAAAACTGCCATTTAATGCCCAAAGGATCATTTCACTTTCCAGAAATGATTTCCAGTCATTTCTGAAAATGCATAAATTGACTCCTGAACAATTGGACTGTATCCATGATATCCGAAGACGAAGTAAAAATAGAATTGCCGCACAGCGATGTCGTAAGAGAAAACTTGACTGCATACAAAATCTTGAAACCGAAATTGAGAAGTTGGTATGTATAAATATTCATTATTATTAATAATATCTCTCTCAAATATCTTGATAGGATATTTTCCAGTATTCTGAAAGTGGCTTTTATCCAATCTGGTTGTACCAACTTTACCACTCTTTTTCACATGACTCCTTGATAACTGTTGTAGATCTTCTGTGCACTACTCAAGGAGCACGCGTTTTTTGTTTTGTAGTTTTGTTTCTGCTTGCATTAAAGTGCATCACAGCCTGTTTTTTGGGTGAATGTTGTTTCTGAAGCCTATCAACATTAAGCCTAATTACACAGAAGAAACCAAACTATCATCCCATTCTGCTCAGTTTTAAACCTTTTTCCTTCTTCTGCTTTTTTTTTTTCTTGTTGTTGTTCAGTTTGTCCTACTGCTCGTGATAGAGTTAAATGTGAGCTAAAGATTTCGTTGATTTTGATAGAACTGAAAAATACTGTTAGCTGTCTAAGCATTGGTTCTCGTAATACACCAATGTGAGCTGGTAAACTGTTTCCCAACTCTTGAAACTTGAAAACATTTTTCGTTGAGACTCTTGCAGAAGGAGGAAGATGCAGCAGAACTCAGGAAGCTGCATAACATTTTTAGCATCGGCATTAACATTTCCCCAAAATCATGCACTTACGTGTGTGTGTGTGTATATATATATATACATATATATATAATGTGTGTGTATACATATATACATTAAAAATAAATAGATATAAATATGTGTATATTTTGTTAAAAGATAATGGAAAGTTAAATGCATAACTTCAGAATAATGATGGAAGATCTGAAGTTCTTGTAGCGAGAAAATTGTTGTTAATTTTCTTTCTCAATCTTCGTTTGACCTGCTCTTCTTACTTCAAATTTATGGTTCAGTTTGGGTGAGTTAGGGTTACTGTTCTTGTAATTTTTTTTTTTTTTTTTTGTAGTGGTGGTTTAGGCTTTGTGCTTTATCTCAATTAGTTTCATTTGTCTATCAGCTAGGTATATACACAGTTATGTAAGCACTTCTGACATGAGAGTGAAAAGGAAAGTAAAATTGGAGCAAAGTTCTAGGGGCTAGAACTCCTTCACTTCGTGAAGCGCTTCATCATCTTTCATGACACACACTGTACTGCTGAAACAACTTAGATAAGGCAGGACTAAGGTGCCGTGCAAGCCTGGTAAGGCGGCAGAGAAGTCCGTTCAGCGTGGTGAATGAAGGTGGTGTTCTATGGCAAGGGGAACCAGGAGGTCACATTAACGCAATTCATATTAGTCTGACTGAAGACAGATTGTGTTTCCGACAGTTCCAAACTTTTTGAGTGTTTTTTGTCATCTTAGTGCTATTTCTGCTTGTTACGTAACTCTGACAATATTGTGCAACAGTAGAAAAGCGCTCTCTCTTTTTTTTTTTTTTCTCCAATATATGATTCATCAGCAAGATTCAACATGCAGTTGACTGAATAGGACAAGTGACTGAGGTAGTCATATTGTAACATGATTTCTTCATTGGACCAGCACTAGAAGGGAATGAGTGTCTGCTGTTTTCAGATATCACAATACAAGTTCTAGAAAATAGGCTCAAAATTGTGAGAACAGTCATATTGTAGGCATGGACATGTTCCAATCCCTTATTTTCTCCAGATTTGCAGGGAAGGTTTCTTCAGCAGTTAGACCTCACTTGGAGCTATTAAGCATGTCTAAATAGCAGTTGCCATTTAGGACCATCAAACTTGTGTAAGTCGTGAGCAAACAGACAAAATCTGAGCTCTGTCTAGGTGTAATTGCCAGTTTAGGGTACATCTGTGTACTGTGTACAGACTGTGGTACATCCAGGTTACTTCAGGTATGACGGTTTCTGTCTGTAGCTATGGTTTGAAAACTGTTGGCAAGTGAATAATTCTTAGTATGCTATGTAGCCTGTTAGGAAATATTATTTGATTAGAATCCTCATCCTAGTTTCTAGTTTGTACAGAACTAGTAGTTCCTACAAAATGCATGTTTTCTTGGATTAATTTCTATTACTGTTTGCTTAAAAGGCTTTTGTTTTCTCGGATATCAAAAATACAATATTTGTAGTGTGTCTCTTGGGTGCACCCTGCATGAGGACAGGCCGGGGTGATTGACAGGGGAACAGCTCCCTGAAAAGGACCGTGAGAGTCTGGGCAGCCGGCAGGCTGAACATGCAGTGTGTCCAACAGTGTGTCCTGACAGGAAAAAAGGTCACCTGGACTTTCCGTATTAACGGAAGCACAGCCAGTGTTTGGAGGGTGATGGTCATTCCCCTTATACTCGACACTCATTAGAAAACATGTAGAATATTGTGTCCAGCTTTGGGCCCCCCACTATGAGAAATTTATTGATTAAACTAGAGCAAGGGCAAGAGAAGGCCACCAAGACACTGGAAAACCTGTCCCACGAGGAGAGGCAGAGGGAGCATGGGCTTGTTCAGCCTGGAGAAGAGACCTCACTGGCAGGACCTGGCAGCTGCTCGCCTGTGTTTGTGGGCTGGTCTTCAAGGTCCTGGAGTCAGGCTCTTTACAGTAAGAAAAGAGATGCTGTTATCAGCTGGTATGGCAGGTTTTGGCTGGAAGTAAGGAGCAGAGGGGTCGTCCACGCTCCAGTCTTGGTTTTCAAAATGTAACTGGACAAAGCCCTGAGCAATTGGCAATATTCAGTAATGTTACTTTATTTTAGCAATATTATATTATCTTCTTTAATGTCGAAGTATGTTATCTGTCAACTATTTTTGACAGGAAAAGAAGTTACATTGCAAAACTATTTCTGAATGTAGAAGTTTCAGTGTTGAGCAATAGTCTGTGTCATTTCATAAGTACATGCATATCCAAAGTGTACATAAAATGATTTCAGATTAGGAGATCTGGCAACAGCTGCTCAAAAAACATGCTGACTAGTGGTAAAATGTTAGTAAAACAGCCTTTCAAATCATTTTAGGCAAAAAAGGACAGGTAGCCACTGCTTCTCTTGCAAAATGCCATGCAAAGCTAGTCAGTTCTCTTCAAAAGATTGCAATGTGAGGTTTCTCTCACAAGAGGGAACGCAAGAAGAACTAAAAATAAATTCTAAAAGAGTAGATGTAGCAGCAATGATAACACATAATCTTTATGATTTCTCAGACTATTCAAAGCTGTGTGTCTGAGACTGCCTCAATCTTTTTCTTATTAAATATAGAATCGTGTGAAAGTCTTCTAATGACTTAATTGTGGTCTTACACGTTTGCTGCTTCCTGCCCTTCTTTGCTCTTTTTTCACTTTTTCTTTTGTTCCTGATGTCGCCTCCTTCTTTAGGCCAGCCCCACCGTTTGTCATAGCATGACTTACTAGAAGTCTCCAAATATTTCAAGACTTTGTACAATATGAAGTAAAATGGTTTAAGTTAACTTTTAACTAGTGATATTCCTTTCTTTTCGATATTCATTAGTGAATTGCCATGCCTTTGGGCTTTGCCCTGTGTTTGGGGAAACCCTTCTGTATTGTGTAGCCAGACTAAGCAACTGTTTAAAGCAACATGGAACTTCTAGAGAGGATCTGGTGTGGAGCGACGAAGATGATTAAGGGACTGGAGCATCTATCTTATGGGGAAAGACTAAGTGAGCTAGGGCTGTTTTGTCTGGAGAAGAGAAGATTGAGAAGAGATCTGATCAATATGTTGATCAAATACCTGAGGGGAGAATGTAAAGAAGATGGGACCAAACTCTTCTCAGTGGTGGCCAGTGACAGGACCAGGGATAAAGGGTATAAACTGAAATACAGGAAGTTCCATCTCCATGTGAGGAAGACCTTCTTTCCTGTGAGGGTGACAGAGCCCTGGAACAGGCTGCCCAGAGAGGTTGTGGAGTCTCCGTCTCTGGAGAACTTCCAAACCCTGTGCCACGTGCTCTAGGTGTCCCTGCTGGAGCAGGGGGGTTGGACTTAGATGATCTCCAGAGGTCCCTTCCAACTTCAACCGTTCTGTGATTCTGTGAAAGCAAGGTCACTGTTGTTTGTCTGAATAGTATCCAGAACTCATAAGCAATGAAAGCTCAAAACATTTGCCCTGTAATTTCTCAGAATAACATAGAACAACAGTGAGTTTATCTACCTGGTGATTAATCTGTTCTTGTCTCTTTGGTCCACTAATTTGTCACTCCTCTGTCGATTGTCTTAAACTCTGTAACTTCTAGTGTTCTAATTAGTGTTTTAGAGCAACTGGAGCTACTGCATTCCTAGAGAAGATAAGTTGTCTACAATTTTAACAAGTTTTGTTTCTTTAAATTTCTTATATTCTGTGTTTTACTTGAGCAAATATTCTTAGCTCCATTTTTTGTTCTACAATAGACTTAGTGCTTCTTGACAACTGAATATATTTTCATTTAAAAGAATAGTATCAATAATGAGAATGTGAGGTCTGGTCTTCAGTGTTTAATTTTTTTTGAGTATAAGTCTCTGACCAGTTATGTTGAATCAATGTAAGTATTTCAAATGTGTTATCCTGTAGAATTTGTACTTGTGGAATATTTAGAGTAATAGTATTTTCGGTATATAGAGCTAGGTTTCATTTATTTAATAAATTCTTTATGCCGTCAACAGTAGTTTTGGCAGAGTTGTGTGTCTGAAATGTCACTTTGAGTTGATGGTGCTTTCAAGAGTAGGAATGTTCTTTTTTGATGGACATATCATTGTGTTGCTGTTTACTTTTATTGCTGAAATACTTCTGTTTCAAGACTGCTAGCTACAGTCTTGTTTCAGTTCTAAAAAGCGCAAACCTAAATTTGTATAGTAAAATGTAGACTAAAAAGCTGTTTTTCTCTCTGCAGCAAAATGAGAAGGAGAACCTGCTGAAGGAGAGAAACCACATTTTGTCAACCCTGGGTGAGACAAAGCAGAATCTGACTGGACTTTGCCAGCAGGTGTGTAAGGAAGCAGCCTTAAGTCATGAGCAAATACAAATACTTGCAAAATATTCTTCCTCAGATTGTCCACTTTCCTTTTTATTCCCTGAGAGAGAACGAACAGCTCCGTCTGATAGTGAACTTGTGATACCATCATGTATGGAATTAGCAGAAGGTCTTTCAGGTGTTACATCTACCACTGAGCAGAGTTCTTGTTATCAGTGTGTGAAAGATGTATGTGATCCAACTTATAGTCAAGTACAAGAACTGCATCCAGTTTCTGTAAGAACGCTGGAGAAGACTTCACTTGTGGAACAGTGTGGGCAGAGCAGTGGTATCACAGACTTCTGCCAGCAAATGACTGACAAATGCACTACGGATGAGTAAATCTGTTGTCTTTCTATTGCCAGGCTCTGAGCATTGCAACTTAGAGTGAGGATTGTAAAGTAACTTACTAAGTGATAGAAAAGATGAAACATTATCTTTTGAAACATCATTAACAAGTACAGGGTCACTGTGTTACCTGACAAGCTTTTAGGGTTGCTCTCTGTAGTTCTAGAAGATTATTGGTATGTATCAGTCCAGGAGCTTTTCTGTCTGGGAATGCCAAGGAGAGTTCAGGTAAGTCGATGGAAAGTATAAACTGTGTGCACAGGTGTTTTTGTGAGGAAGCTTTCATTCAGGTATAGAGTAGACCTCGCTCTGATTTTTATGTCACAATACCTAATGCCACTCTACATCTCAAGAGAAGTTTATTTAATAGATGTTTATGCACACTAACATGTGGAGTTCTTACCTCTTCAGCCTCTCCTCCCTGCAGTAGGCAAACCCTAAGAAGCACATACAGCTCTGAAAATGTTGTTGCTGTCAGTGGGACATTATGAGAAGACAGGCAAATGAGCTCTGGAACACTTTGTTACTTTGCTGCTGTTCCCACCGCTATAACAACACCAATCTTGTAGAATATATGCAACTTGCCTTAGCTGCCCAGTTAAGCTGTCTGTGACGACTGAAGCGCAGAAGCTTCTTCTCTTTGATTATTCGGGGGGAGCAGATTGGGAGAGGCAAAAGTTTGAAACTGATGCAGCTTTTTTGTGTGCATTGGATCCTCTGGCATCTGAATTCCATGTGCTTGTTAAAATGCTGTTCCTTGCTGTAAAGTGACTTACAATCATAGCACCTTCTGGCTCAGTATTGTTTGTGATGAGTTCGAGTCAAAGTATTGTGAAAGGCTAAGGCAGATTTTTTTTTTTTCTTTCAAGATATTTCAGGCACCAAATTCTTACTGACTTCAGTGCTTTGTTGGGTTTGATGTAGCCTATAAAAATTGTATTTGTTCTCTGATCACTGGGACCATCTATTTCAGAACTTTAATCTTCAGGCTGCTTTTACGGATGAACATGTAGTATATTTCAAATGGCTTGTGCTGTAAGTATAAACATATTAAAGTATAATAAGATACGAGCTGGAGGGATTTCCTGCTTTTACCTTGTGAGGAAGAAATTCAGCTACTGAAATAAGAGCAATGGAAAATAATCCCCGTTTATAGATTTTTACATTACAGTAGATGGATATTGTATACTGATGATGCTTTCTTACTTAGCTGTTATCCTTGCATCAGAATTAAGTATTGAACCTCACAACAGAAACTTCTTTCATTTTGCTGGTTTACAAAACATGAAGAATTTTGTACAAGCCAGTGGAATTCTTCATTTCCTACCTCAGAATGTACATTAGCTTTTTTGTCTTTGTGTGCATGTACAGTAGGCAGCAACTAGAGCAAAGGACTATTGTAAATACCGTTTTGCAGTTTTATCTTGAAACAAGATAAAAATTGCTAAAGAAGTGCTTTAGCAATTTTTTTCTTTTTCTTCCACTTTATAAGTAACATAGCATTAATAAATATATTAAGAATATTAGCCCATTTATAAAAAGTAAATAAATTAACAATTTTTGGCAGTGCTTCTCATAACCAGCATGTAATAAGTGACTACACTACCTCACCCATGAGTTTGAAAGTTAATTCAAATCTCTAGTGATATCCTTGGATTTTCATCATATATCGTTACTTTTTTTAGGGGGGAAAATTTGTATTAATGGAGCATAACTTGTATAAATCACAGTGCTTACAGTAATTGAAGTTTAGAAGTAAATGCTATATTGCAGACTTCATGAGAGTTCTACTGTTTTGGATGTATTTTTAGATAATTGAAGTTCGTTTAATTAACTAGCATTTATATGTGTTGATAAGTGTTACTCATGAACCTCTTTGTGTCTGTCCTCCAGCATTTGTATATCCCTAGTTAATTTAATCTTTTTTTCCTCTCATGCTGCTGTACTGTATCTTGCTTCTAAGTCTATTATATTATTTAAAAACAAGCCAACAAGAAAGTGTAAAAAAAAAAAAAAAAAAAAAAACAACTTTCCCAACCCCCCCCTACTATCCATCCTGGTCTCTTTTAAAGTTAGTGATATTCTGAAATGACAGGGATAATGGCAGTAAATCATTGTCCTATCATACACCTACTCTAAAATGGAATTCCTTGGGTTATGAATGCTCTTGTTCTAAAGGGGTGGAGCCTTTATTCAGACATCTTAAACATACCTGGTGGCTAAAACATGCCGACCTGGTTGGGTGTTGGTGATGGAGGGCAGGATCCGTGATTTAGACCAACATCGGAAGCTAAAATCCTTACCAAGAAGTGCTGTGCTCCACCGCTCTGGTATGATAGTCACCCAGTGTCCAAATTCCATCCAGCAAAACTTGCGGGGCTTCCAGTGCAGAACTAATGGCCCCAGTTTTGTGCTGGGGGTATGGTGAAATTCATATTGTGTATTTAAACCTTTGGTGAACTTGATGAAGTTTGATGGTAGATGTTTGCCTAACCAGCTGCATCTAAATAATTTTTAATATTTATATAATACAGTAGACCTACAAGTTGCATGTTGACTTCTATAGGTGCAAACCTGCAAAAGTTAAGAATGAATGACAATTTTATGATACAGAATTCTCAGGTAAATGTTTTGGATTTTTTTTTTTTTTGGTAAAGAAATACTCGATTTTGAAATTGTAAAATACTTTGTTAAAGCATGTTTTAAAATACTTTGGACAGAATATCTTAAAGCCATAAGAGTATGATGGCATACAGATTGTAAAATAAACAGATAATTACAACAGTTGATTTTGTATCTTTCATAATCCAGTATTTTTTAAATCCACAATAAAAACCACTATCCTTTCTATAAAGACTTTTCATTTTTGTGTACAAATCTTTTTGCGGTGGATATGTTTACTGGTGCATTGCTTATGTAGTACTGCTAAAGCAGATTTCTGAAATTAATAGCAAGACAACTTAGAGCTTAAATTCTGAAATAGTTCACACATTTAGCAAAGATTACTGAATTGGAATAAAGGTTCCATAAGTTTATTTAATATTTGCTGTGTGCTGCTCTGTTTGAGTGGGTTTTCTGTTTTGGTGAACTTTGAACTTCTGATTTTGAGGGAGAGAGAAGTGAGTGAGATATTGTTGTGCTTTTTGAAATTATTATTTTGAAAGAAAAATTTGAAATTATTATTACACACAAGGTATAGATCAGTGTGCTAGGCTAAGCTTTATCATGGGGGAAGGTTTAATGATAAATTTGTTTATTAAACTCCTTAAGAAATTGCCAAATCACAGAATGGTTGAGGTTGAGGTTGGAAAGGACCTCTAGAGATCTAGTCCAACCCCCCTGCTCCAGCAGGGACATGTAGAATTTTTGTGATTACAATCATGCTGGTCTGCAGAAGAATTAGCCTTTGAGAAACTACATTTAAGCTAACCTCTCTCTAACACTGGACCTCGCCTTTGCTGCAATGATTTGCCTTGTCTGGAGGCTTTTCACCTGTGCATTTGACTCCTATATCTGAAGTTAATGAAGGGTCTACTGTGGAATTAAGTGAAAGTAAAAAGAATCTTTTGGTGGGGCAAAAAATGCTGCCAAAAAAAAAAGTCTATGTGCGACAGAGTTTGGGACTGCACAATTAGTTCTGTTTCTGGATTTTTTTTCCTTTTTTCTCTCTTTTTTTTAAGGAAGTTAAAAATGAGAAAATGCTGGTGACTGGCACTCTTATGTGGGCACTTATTTTTTATCTAAAAATGGCAGAGCTGGGTGAAGACAGAAATGTTTCAAGTGCAGTAGCAAAGCTTCTTCCTTCTAAAGCTGAAAAAGGCAAAGTACACTTACTTTAACTGAAACTATTTTTAGAACAAACTTCTTTAAATTGCTGCTGTTCTGCCAGAAGTTTCGGGGTAAACTGTTGTGTAAGGCAAAATGTACAAGTTTCTTTGTGGTGTTGAAGTAGAAACTGGACCTTCATGCCTGTTAGAGATTCCATTGATTGCATATTGATTTCTTTTTCATTGGGTTTGTTCTTCCAAAGAATAAGCCCTGGATTTGCAATCCTGTCATGGGGGTTGGCAAGCAGGTATAAATGTGCATTTTAATTTTTTCAGTCTATTGCGATTTATTGCCAAAGGAATTTTGTGCAGAGAATTAAAAGAAGAAAGGAGGGAAAATGTGCCTTTTTATCAGGTATTTGAGTGAGAGAGACTTGGAGGATATGACAGTTTAAAAAAAAAAAAAAAAAATGCTCATTAGAACACCAGCTAGGTTTACTAGGCCTTGGAAATAATTTAAATACCCATCATTACAAAAATAACTGCATATCTTTTTGACTCACTGATGTTTCCATCAACATGCAGACAAGCTAATCGTGCTGTCAAAGGAACTCTTTTTTCTCCCCCTTTTTCCACCTTTTGCCTTTTTTCCACCTTCAATATCTGAAGTGGGGAAAGCAGCATTCATCCTGGAGACTGAAGCTTTTGCAATGATCAGGAAATTGGCCATGTAAGTGTGTGTTTTGTTTGTTTCTTTTGTTAAAGAAGGTGTTGCAGGAAGGTCCAGGTGATGGTGTTTATACCTAGGGAATATCCGCTGGTTTCTTCTGTTGGGAGGGCATGGAGGTGGAACCTGTTAGGAGTGCTGATGAAAAAGTTTTTCTTCCTTTTTTTGTTCTTACATATACATATACACATGCACACGTAAGTGCCCACACTCACACACATACATATATTTTAGGGAAGAAATGTCATAAAAAGGTCAGTTTGACTTTTCCACAGTTCAGAGGAAAAGCTGAGGAAATAAAAGCAAGCTTATGGGAACACTAATCCAGAACGCAATGAAGCATACGCAAATATGTATGTGTAATAAAAAATAACTTGTGTATTTTGTGCTAATACCTGGCGTGATATCCTGCTATTCCAGGCCCATTACAAGTAACGCCCTTCCAAAAGGCTGTGATCAAGGAATTCGAGCTAACACATTAATAGGATTTGCAGAGTTCAAGACAACTAAAATGAGATTATAATTCAGGACTGTTTTAGCTTGTTACCT